GACGAGATATTTGCAAAATCCACCAAAAAAATTAAAAAGACAAATTCATTCTCAAAATTATTAAATCATACTCCCTTTAAAAGCACGAGTTCAGGAAAATTTTTTGGTAGACAAAAATACCCTTAAAATTCAAATATTAATCCATTAAGTAAAAGTAAATTGATAAATTGATAAATTTTTATTGAATATACTTAGTATGAAGATAAATACATAGTTTGAATTGAAATGTAAACCTCAATGAAATTATTAAATGTTATACAAGATGAAGGGTGTATATACAAAAACCAAACAAATTAGTGAGACAAATAATGTCCACCCAGAGGTCGAACCAGGAACAACACAGACCTACAAATATACATAATGTTGACAAAATATTTGTAAAATCCACTAAACAAATTAAAGAGACAAAATCATTCTCAAAATTATTAAATCATACTCCCTTTAAAAGCACGAGTTCGGAAAAAAAATTTTGTAGACAAAAATACCCTTGAAATTGAAATACTAATCCATTAAGTAAAAGTAAGTTGATAAATTGATGAATTCTTATTGGATATACATAGTAGGAAGATAAAGATATAGTTTGAATTGAAATACAAATCTGAATAAAATTGTTAAATGTTAAATTTATAAATGTATATAAGATGAAGGGCGTATATACAAAAACCAAACAAATTAGTGAGACAAATAATATCTACCCCAGAGGTCGAACCAAGAACATCGTAGACCTACAAATGTACATAATGTAGAAGGGGTATTTGCAAAATCAACCAAACTAATTAAAGAGATAAAATCGTTCTTAAAATTATTAAAAGGAAAATTAAAACAAAATACTACGATATGAGGACACAATATAACGATCTCTCACCAACTAAAATTCAAGTAGTTCATAGTATTGCATAATTAGTTTTAAAGTTTAATTATACTACTATTATTTAAATAGAACTCTATTTACAATTGTTATCCTCTCACATGCAACATCACATACTAATGTATATAAGCCAAGAAATTATAACAATTTTTATAGCACTTTTATCTCATTCTACAAGTATATACCTTTATTATTTTCTTCTTATTAGATTAAATTAGATTATATTAAAACAATTAATTATACTGTATATTTGATCTTTTTTATATCAAGAAATATCAGAAATTTTTATTGCACTTTCATCTATTTTCTTCTTATTAGATTAAATTAGATTATTTTTAAAGTAATTAATTATATTGTATGTTTGATCCTTTTTTCAGTTTAGAAATTGCAACAGTTTTCATAACACTTTCATCTCCTTCAACAGATATGTGTCTTTGTTATTTTCTTCTTATTAGATTAGATTAGATTGTTTAAAATTTATGAATTATAAAATTACAATAATTTTCATATCATGTCATCTATTTTCTTCTTATTAGATTAGATTATATTATTTTAAAGTAATTACTTATATTATATGTTTAAATTTTTTTAGATCATAAAGTTTAATTATAGTATTATTATTTAAATAGATATTATTTGTATAAAAATCAAAGGGAATCTTACACATATTTTAGATCTCAATGTCAAATGTACTTACAAATGGATGTTGGTTAAAATAAATGTCATGCATGAGCTTAACTTATATGATCCTACTTTAACCAGATTAGATAATTTATTTTTTTTAACACCCAAACTCTTCAACAAAACCAAAAGAGAGTAGAAATGTTATAGCTATATGTATACATAGGACCACATATAACTTAAAAATAAATAAAGAAAATCACACAAACAAAAACCATATTAATTACCTACACGCACCCACTATTTTCAAAACCACACTTCTTCATCTCTATTTATAATATATCCACATACCAAATTAAGCTGCTGGAGTTTTCCCTCACTAAAGGCACTATTAAGCAACCCACATTTTTCCTTTGTACTTAAATTGTATAACATTCATTACGATGGGGACTCACATGGGTCCTCTGCCAGCCTTGAACGCCTAAAAATAATAATGTACTAGGCCTTGTAGTTAGTTAACAATGAGATCATATCATTATAAACAAATTAAGTAAAAATTAATAATTCTTAAGAATATACTATAATTCTTAAGAATATACTATGTTCCCCTAGCTTCCGCTGCAAACTTATTAGTTGTTTATTTTTAACCCCAATAGATTTTTAAAATTAATCATCTATTTCATAAATTTTTTAAAAAATATTTAAATAAAATTTATAACATATGTAATAATCCATGTTTATAGATTTTAACTTAAAATAAATCTGACTTATTTTATAATAAGAAAAAAATAATTTTATATTTAACCACGTGCATTGCACATGCACAAGAACTAGTACTAAACAAATAACTACACCAATGAAAATGCCATAAGCAAACAAACACCAAGATTTAACGTGGTTCGGTAAATCGTGCCTATGTCCATGAGGCAAATACAGAGAGCAATATTCCACTATTAATTGAGAGTACAATCCCTCAAAGTTATACCTGAATTTGAGGATCAAATCACAAAGAGAAAAATACAGTGTTACCTCTAAGGTACCAAAACCCTAAAACCCGTCTCACCATAAATCTTCAACTCCTGCGGAGAAATCAACACAGTACCCTCGACGACATCGTCATTCTGAAGACAACGGCTTTTAAGTCACAGCAATCGGAGAACCAAGCTATCTAGAATTTGAACGTTTCTGTCTCTCCCCTTAAAACAATCCGCGGGAGGTGAACCGTACGCGAACCGAACCGAACCGCGTGCGAACCGAACCGAACCGGATGCGAACCGGCACAAACCACCA